TCTACATCTCATCAGCGTCTTCACCTAACCAGGACTACGTCATTCGCGTACTCTAGGTCGACTAAGGAGTCCTCTGTGACAAGGTTGATTTTTTATATAGCCAGTGGGTTAGGATCAGTCGGAAATATCGTGCACTTTCCCATAAATACTTGCAAAAACAAGCATATAATTTGACAGGCTCACCTCACTTCATTTTAGTGTGACGAATCATTCTTATTATTATTTTTCTATTGGGTTCCTAGTGGAACATACGGCTTCAGTAGCACGTCGCCATTTCACTCTCTTCTCTGCAGTTTTTCAAACTTGGCTCCATGACTGGCCAGAAACATTCATTTCTTCCTCACACAATCTCCTCCATATCACCCTCGGAAGCTCAACTCGTCGTTTCCCCTTTGGGTTCCGCTCGAGGGCCTAACGCGTGATGTCCCCAAATGGTCTTCTCGGTGTATGTCTAATCCAATCCATCTCCGTTTTCTTCTGCATATTTGTTGGGCAATGGGTTATTGGTTGGTTCGTTGCCAGCCTGAGTTCCTTGTTGCTTATTCCTATTATTCTGGCCATCCGAGACATAAAATATTTGGGTTATTTAACACAGCGGGATAAATTTCCACCTTTCCACTGATGTTAGTGGGTTACACTTAATGACTGGTACTTTTTTCTTATTGGTATCAAGATGTTTCTCTGTGAAATTATTGCAGACTCATTTTTCTAACTTTGAATTGAATTTTAACTGTCAATCAGTGTGTTAACACTCACGTTTTGTAGAAGTTATCTCTGGAATGCGTGAACGATGGTATTTCAGAAAATGTCAAAAATATGGGGTATGTGTTTGTAGAGTCTTTAGGTGATTTTCACCTCGACCAATCAGAAGTCGCTTCATCTCTATTCAGTAGAAAAATAGTGTATTAAATTAACAGAAGTTGAAATGTGCAATATGTTAAGCTGTTAGGAAAGTATATTATATTGGGCAAGTTGTAATCAGAGATATTACAGACTGAGTGACGCGGTAACATCTCTAACTACAACACTAGGTAACGCTGGTTCGAATTTCAGGCCGGACATCAGTTCCGTCGAGGCTGCAGATATATCACGCTGATGAGTGCCAGTCAGCACGAAACCTAGGTCCAGGAATTCCTGCGCTTGCACTCCATCCAACTAATATTTCTTCAGAAATTTAATAATTCTCACTATGACATTCAGAACAAGAGATTCTTTTCAATGAATTTATTTTCAAGCTTCATATTCATATACATATGATATTTAAGAAGTTTTATCCCGCGAGGAAATTTAAACACTGAATGGTAATAATAAAGGTAGTTTTACTTGTAACAACAGCTGGAATATGAAGGGTAACGAATTAGATTATGCAATATATAGAATGGTTCATAGAGTGCATCGAACTCAGCAAGAGGCGTGAAAGTGATGAAAGTGTTAAACCAGCAAAGTATTATATAAAGAATAAAAAGATTAAGTGAAATGACACCAGAAGTTATTCAATGTGAAGGCAATTGCAGTAACAATAATAGTAATAAAGGAAGGATTCAAAAATCAATTTAAGAAAAGGGGGAGGCTAGCAGGGGTAGGAAAATGCTTTGGCCACGGAAAATCTGTAACTGTACATACTTCTTTTGTACACACAGTTCAGAGCTTTAGTTCATCAATAGCTAAGATCTCTTTTATGGGGTTAAAACGCACAAAACATTGGAGATTTGGGAGAATTTGAGAAACAATTTTGAATGATGTAATGTATTTAAAGGGACTAGTGAATGTAATGAGAAATCATAATGATAAGGATGTAAGAATGTAATGTGTCAGCAGATGTGTAAGAAAGGATTTCGAGAGTAACATCTATTTATAGATCATGCCCAGTGCAACTCAAGCGGCTTGGCAAACTTCTTTTGAACACACAGTCCAGGCTTCAAAATAATAATTGTCATAGCTTCTGCGGTTTAAAGTGTCAGGCATACACCTTTCAAGAGGCTTATACGAACTCTATAGATGACACTGACCTTGTTTACTGCATTTACCACATGGTCATAAGCTATCAATAGAGCTGTAAGGTCTCCTCGTTTTCCCTTTGTGGAACCAGGCTGGTTTATTTTGAGAAATGCATTTGGAAGAAGAACGCTGAGTACCGCCAACTTATCTTACTTCACAGTAGCAAGTGAATTGATAAACACACATTGAGGTGGTTAAGGGACTTAGCTTATCCTTTATCCGTAATCGAAACATTGGGTAAGTAAAGTTAATCCATGTTTGGCAGCTTAGAAAGTCCTTTTCAATGAGCCTCCTTTACGGTTTCTCAATATATCTGCCGATTTGTCTCTCTTGTCTGTGTTTGTGATTGACGGAATTCTAAAACAGAAATTTTGATAGACTTTAAAGCCTATAAAGCCGAGTTTTAACACGATATTGTATACTGTTTTCATACATACAAATGCCTTTAACATTAGTATTGTTACCACCTATTTACTTATGATTGGTCACTTCTTGTTGCTTGCATTATCCAGTCGTTGACTTGATCGAATCGACAGGTCTTTAATGGCATGTATGCTGCTACGCAGATGCCTCTAAACTGCCTGCGTTTCAGTTACATATTAATGATGGATAATGGCTAGCAGTGGAATCCGGGATGCGAGCCCCGGTGGGAACAACATCTCTCTCTCTCTCTGGGAGGGAGGTACATTCAACTGACGAGTCTCAAACAGCATGATACGCGCATCTGGATTCTACTGATAGCAAATATCCATCATTAATATATAATTAAAACACAGGCAATCTGGAGTTATCCACTCAGGAGCCCATATGCCGATAGAAATCGATCAATTCGGTCCAATCAGCGATGGGATAACACAAGCTAAAACCTTACTACCTAATGTTTAAATTTCCTCATGGGCTCTAATTTTTAAAATGATCTACACAATTTGAAAATCAATTCGGTGGGAAGGGTCTCTACACTAAATATCACGTTATTAAAATATTTCCTGTCTAATTTATTGAAATTCTTAATATTTCGATCGTTTCTTAGTCTCACTAAATATTGACTAGGATGTCTAAATGAAGAGAGGAATTGTTAAACACTTGGAATCATTTCATAGGGTAATAATTTGAATCACCAATTTTCAAACATAACACATGTTTGTGGATGGACGTTACCAACATTACAAAGCAACCTCACACAGTGTAAGTATAGAAATTAGTCACTTCGGTGGAATGTAGATCCATATTAGATTAGTCTAGTTAATTTGGCGAACAGTGGTAAGCGTTGCATAGAAACCAATAAACTTACTGAGAGACAAAATTTGTCGGCTTTTGGATTATATCGAGCGCGTCAGACTGAATAATTTAATTTATCAAATACAGTGCAACGACTGTGAGGTCAGTCAAGTTCGCAAAATATAGGAACCACACTAAGTCTAGACTGATAGACCCTACTAAGATGAATAATCTAGAAAAGAATTCAGCCACATCTATGTTTGTGGTAGCACACAACTACACATTACAGTGAGATAGAGTTACTGTCCTAAAGGCTGATGTAGTTCAACGGATAAGGAAGTTGATCACTGAGTTACTGCTCATCAACTCAACGCCTAACACATGTAATCAAATGTGTGGAAAGTCTCACTACCAATTAAATAAAAAAAATATAAAATAATATAACTACAAAAACCAGAACACAAACTTATGTGATTACTGTGATGAGATTATAAGCAATAAATTTTGCTCGATACGACTTTATCTAGTAAATATTACTATATCATTGTGTACTATGTCCAGTAAACTAATCTCATATGGAACCTCACAGCTGTCAAAAAGTACAGAAACGGTGTACATAAATCGAAAGTATTTAAAATGAACCAGTAGACAGATATGAACTGACCATACCGAGAGAGTAATAAGGTATTCAAGTAAAACTTAAGCATACATACTATTGTTATCCTTTGAATGGTACTGTCTTATGGCTGCTTACTAGACATGAATGTATTACAACTATCTTTAAAATCCTAGTTTGATTTCTAATTACTCTCAGCACTCCCAATTTTTCGCCAACCTAAGCCAACGGAGATGCTATTTCAGAGTGGAGTAATTAGATCTTAACTTTCAAATTCTTCAACACATTTAACCAGCCTATCAATAGAGTAGATTGCATAAGGTTTCACTTAAACGTTTTGGTTAGTTTTCAAAATCTACTTTTTTGTTTATCAATAACGGAGGCATTGGGTGATGTAGTTATTTCTTCCCCAGGGAGATTAGTCAACTCCCGTATTATAAAATGACTGCCGTAGCTGTTTTCGACTTATCTATGATATACAAGGAGAAAGTTTAGTTAGTCAGAAGTTTCATCAAAATTGCTATTTATCAAGGTTTCTCACATGATACTGAAGTTGAATGTTTTCTGTGTCAGCAGCTGAGTCAGGTTGATAGTGTGAAGCACTATAAACCGGTTAGATCAATCTGCTGTAATATACACAATGATAATGGTCATAACGCATACCTCAAAAGCATAATTTAGTCAATGAGATACTCAATGTTGGCAATGAAAAGCTTTCTAGATAAATTTCAGTATGATGCTTGTAGCGTCACATGCTTCTCTAGAATCAATAGCCTGGGGTCTGACGAGATTCAACATTGATACTGACCTTCATAGTTTTATCGGACTCAGTAAGCTGAAGACACATAGTCAAGCATCCATGCCATTTGGTACACTGTGGTGTTATCTTGCACTGCTCGTTATCCACCCTGTAGCCAACTAGTCGGAATGCATTGGTATTGTGACGCGACCACGCAAATATACTATTTCATCTGAATACACTATTCTGTTCTTCTTTGGTCCTGGATTCGTGGGTGTATTACAAGTACGAATAATTAGTGACTGGCCTCTGCGTCTGTCAAGTTCGCACAAAAACAATTCCTAAATACTTATGCTTAGCTTAGTCTCTATTCAGTGAATTAAATGTTTCCATTTGGACGAATTTCTCTTTTTTTTTGTTCTGTTACAGCTTGGGTTAATACAGGTGAAGATACTTTAAAACCTTACAATCGACCTGGTAATTCAGTTAAGGATTTATCAAGCAAATGTGGTGAAAAATATTCTTCACCAGAACACATAAAACATGATCCGAGAAAGTATTAACTTGATCATTTCCTCTAATTGAATATTATTATCCGAAATGTTATCTTGAATGGATTCGATTTTCAGATGAAAGATTATTTGATACAGACACTAACCACCCTCTAAATCACTATTTATTATAATTAACTTAATATTTATTTATTATTTGTCAATAACTACTGTTATTTACTGAATTAGGTAAATTTTTATGTAGATCATTTAACCTGTAACATGATGTTCAATGGTCAATATTTTGTTTATCCTATCTAAAGTACTGTTTTCAATTTTTCTTCTAATGTTAAGCTTATTAGTTTTCATTTTTACTGATAGCTAGGATTGATAATCATTTCTACTGTCGTAGTAATAGTGCCTGTGATCAGCTAATATTTGTTATTTTATTCTAGAATTGTGAAGAAAGTGATTTGCAATCAATAGACGTTGGTTGTTATTTATGTGTAATGTTTTTAATAAAAGTTTGACTAAAAAAGTAACATTTTGATAATAATAACAATGTTACGTAGTACTTCTGCTTGCAAATACTCCAGATAGTAATGCAATGAATACTTTTTAACCAGAATACAAGTGATATCTGATGTATTCACCCAACTATCGAAGTATTGTCATGTGATTGTTGTCAGGACCCCTTAGATTTATTACAAAACCTGTTTTAATCTTGAGAGTTGAAGAAAGTGATTAGTTTTATGGGAAGCAGATGAGTCATCCAGTAAAAGCTTATGTAAGATGCTTGGAGGAAGTCCTGTTTAACCTGCTTTTTGTGCTTGTCGGTATTCGTGAGCAAGGCGTGTCTGCAACCCTGGGGGAACTGACATCTCCTCTGGAACTTAAACCTACGTCACCCAGTGTTGTAGTTAACGACGTTAACACTGAGCTATTTGACTCGCAGCTGACCTTATGTACTAAGATAGATACCAATCATGCAACAATAATATATGAAGGAGAAAATTTTTAGTTCGATAGGGGAAGGCAACATTCCGTCATAGTTTCAATATTTTCATTAAGACAGATACTGATTTACAGGGTGAAGATAAAGGCTGTGGAAAATGACGTCAGACGAAGAGGAACTTTGATTACTCCCAAGAATTTTAACGGCTGTCATTGAGTGTTGATGATTGGTCGTCAAAACATGAGGTAGATCCAGTATGCTACAGCAAGTAGCTTGATTGTAATTGACTATACTAGGAAAGACAAAATTGCGTAAAAGACAGTTATGAACGAACGCTGATTAGTCACTTTAGATCACTTTCTTTGTGTAATCTAAAGTGGGATTATACTGCTGAACTAGTTGAGTAGCATAATTCACTAGTTCCTGGTACTTTGTGTCAGAGATAACATCTTGTGATCTTGGTTGTGGAGTAGTTTCCAACGAAAGCCCTGTTGACATAACAGTTGGGCAACTGAAAGACTGCTCAAGTCCAATTTGCAAATCATTCGGTGATTCATCATTCTACTTAATGCGTGTTACTTTTCTTGCATCACTCCTGTATTATTTATCTGTATTTCTGAGATAATCCTGGTCAATCACATTGGTTTTGATATCCACATAGATCTCTGTATTATTATCTAACCAACTGACAACAGTTAACTTTACTTCCGAATGCAGATGTTAACAGATACATAACCGAATACTCGACTTTAGATGATGTAAATAAATAATAAGAAAATATTATGTATAGGGATAATGGGCAGTGGGTAGCAGTGGAATCCAGGATGCACATTTCGTCCTATTTGGGACTCGTCAGCTGAGTGTACCTGCCTCCCAGTAAGGGATGTTGTCCCCACCGGGATTCAGACTCGGAAGCGATCGTTTCAAGCGCAAGAGCGTGGATATCGTGGCTCAGTAGCGTAGTGGAGGCAGGTACACCCAGCTGACAAATCCCAAATAGGACGAAATGCGTATCCTGGACTCCACTGCCCATCATTACTATACATAATTGAAACACAGCAATCTCGAGGCATCCGCACAGGAGCCCATTTGCCGACAGCGGCTGTTCAATTCGGTCCAGTCGACGTGGCGTAATACAAGCAATAACACTAAAGTAAATATTGCATTCTTAGATTATGAATTTAACCTGAGAGAGGTCAGTGTACAGACATCATCAAAGTGACAATGGTAAAGAAATCTACAGCATTTAAACTGTCCAGAATGGTACAGAATGAAGGATATTCAACCCTACCATAATATCAAGTGTCTGTAAGTCATAAAAAGACCAGGAAAATATCACTTTACATGACATACATTCTTTGTGAGTTTAGATCGTTTCCATTCATCATTCTTTTTTCACACTAAAGTGGCATCAAAGTCGCGCAATATCAGATGTTTGCGTTATAGGTTGCTGACATGTTTGACCCTTCTACGTAATCCGATATTTCGTGAGATAATCGTCTATTTTAACAACAATCTTTATGATAATTTGGTTGGTTGTGGCCAGCAAAAGAATTCAGGACGCACGTTTGTCCTGGATTCTTCTGCTAGCCACAACCAACCAAATTATCATCATTAACATTCAGGCAATATCAAGGCATTTGTATAGGAGCCCATATGCCAATAGAGGTCGACCTATTCGATTAAACAAAACAACAGAGAATAAAAGTATGTCAATAAATAGTAACAATCTTTATGTTTATAGTTTCACTGGCCAACAAGAACCCAATTCAACGATTTCAGGAATCAGTTAGTATATATATAATTATGTAATCCAGGTGAATATCTAAGTTCAAGTATTTCCCACTCTTCAAGTGTTACAGTTCCCAGCAATATAGATTTATAACATTAGAAATAGTGTTGTGGTGTAAAGAATCAAACATAAGAAGACCTGTCCTCCAATCTTTACATATGTGTAGAACTCTATAGATTTCACCATGAAGTATGCGGCATTATCAAGGAGATATACTGGCTGTTAACTGTCTTCTATTGGATGGATTAACATAAGATAAAGTACTAGAAAAAACTGTTGTATCGTATTGTTGTGAATATGTTGCTAGGTAAAGTGACCTTTTAGATTTATCTGTTTATCCAGATTTCTGCTACAATTATGACAGTTCAGAAATCTTAGACTAGTAGTTGTGGTTAAGGTTTTGTATTTGGTGACATTTAGGGCGTTAGTAAGCAGGTTAGTTAATTGTGAAGCTGTTCAAAAAATAAGAAGTCTTGGGCAAATCAGCAGAAGAATTCTTTCAACGATTTCTAGTATGATATACAAAGTAATATTTCAGTAAGTTGATATTTTTTGATCAAACAAATACTTAAGATTTTCTCGTCAGATTGATAGTGAAAAGAGGAGAGAAAAGGAAGCGTGAATAGAAACTGGAATAATGAGACATTTTGCCGATCATTCACCTTTATGGCACATAGAGTAAATCCCAATCAACAATGTATCAAATTTTGTTCAATTTCATTTATTGCTAACAGTTTTGACCAATAATAAATTTTTCTTTCTGCATTTTCGTGCTTTGTTCGTTTGCGTAAATATGTTTTAGCGATAGGAGTACATACATTCGACAATGAACACATCCAAAGTTTCAAATATGCAGAATGTCTTCATAGTGTTGAAATCATTTCACGTAAACATGCTAGTGTGCACAACATTCTACAGTTATTCAAAATTGAATTGATGGCATTGGCAATCGAATGATTACCTTCAAATTAAATTATTTTACGGTGTTCATTTGTAACTTGCTTCAATATGGGATTTCCTGAAGGTCTAAAGAGAAATCATGGCCGATAAGGTCAACTAAGCCGAATGTGAGGAAAAATACGCAACGATGACGTTTAATGAAGGTTGCGCTATATCACGAGTTGATAGAATTTCAAAAAATGTAGACCATATGATTCTAACTCGGTGTCTCCGCGGTAACGAGCTGGCTGTGGAACCTAAAGGTTCTGGGTTCGATCCATGGAGGGGTCGTGGGTGTGCCTTAACGAGAAGTCCCATGCTAAGATGAAACAACTGCCCAGCATCCTCTTTTTTTCAGTGAATCTCCAATGGATATCAGTCCGTGACGAATGCCAATCTGAAGACCGAATAACTGTTATACAGCTGACTTAGTCAAGTTGTTTATCAGTTTATGCAAATACGGTATCATTCCTGATGAAAGATAATTCTACAGGAATTTTATTAAATTAATATCAGATCTACTTATTAACTCTCTATCTTAAATAATATCAGAAATTAAACGGAAAAACGTTTCATACAGACTAAATTATCGAGACAGTTTCATTTTGAATATTGGAGAGTATTTGTAACTCAAGATGTGAATATCCAGACTATGTTGTCCTTAAGGCTAGGTTTCAGTCATGAGACATCTCATTGTCATGCCGGACACCGTCGTCAGTGCTACATATGAAAATGAGGTTAAGTGGCCGTGCATAGACATCTATAATGCGCTCTTTACTTCAGTCCAACATAACCGGCCATGTGTAGGCGTGTTCCGAATATGACTGGATGACTTTTTACTGACGTAAGACTAGACCATTGATCGACTTCATTTATTTGAATGGAGTACTTTGATGTTGCTTCGTTGTCATCGGTGTGGTTCTTCTTATTCGAAGGTCATATCGGTTAACGTATTCATTTAACTGAGACTTTATTTTTGACTCTTCTATACTCAAAGGGTTTGGTTTGCTCTGAATGGTTGATGTACTCTATTTGTAGAGCAGCCTACATTGATTGGCTAATTTGTTAGAACTGAAAGTAGATTCTCGTTATTATTAGTTAACTGTTTTTACTGGGGGGTTTCCATTTCATTTGGATTGATCAGTTTCATCTGTGTCTCTATGATCATCAATTATGCCACATGTCTTTCAATTTGTTCTGCTACTTTTCTTCCCATTGGACAGTTAATCAGTGGCCTTTATCTGACACTAATCGGCAAAACATGCTGACGTAGGCAGTCATGGAGAAAGAATGGTTTTTCTCTTGTAGAAGATTGCTTCTTGGAGAAGTTCTTCCATCTTCGAACAACGCGTGTTGAAGTTATGTATACGCTATTTTGATGATTGTCTAGAAAGACAATGAAAGTTTGACGATGAAACCACCCAGCTTACAGAACACAATATAACCGAGACTGCTGAATTGAGCTACAAACATTCTCCAACATTTCAATAATACTGAGGTGACACATGTTTCGATATAAAATCTATTTTAGGTTGTAAGCAGCTGATGAGAAGCGCCGAAGTAAAATCAGTCATACTATTCTGCTCTACCTATCGTTCTCATTCTATTTCAGAAAAAATATTGTGTGAAACTACATGAAGAAAGCGTTTAAATGATAATGTTTTATATTGTTCAGACTGAAAGGTCATTTACATTCACAGTACTCTTGATTTTGAATGCCTTCACATTCTTTATTCAGTAGGAGAGGGAAACAGTCTTGTGTATTTAGCAACACATTCTTTGAGTTATATTATTATACTACTAGTAATAGTGAGTTTATTCTAGACAGTAGTTTTTAATACAGTATGGA